AAATTAATTTACTTGAATGAGGCGATAAAGCACTGTGGAATAGTTAGTTTTGGATGCAACACACAAAGAAGCATATATTGTGTTAATTCACCATTTTGTTCAGGAGAAGATAAGTAAAAATGTTTCATTTGTTCAAGGAAATAACTGTTTTTTTAATCTTAGTCTCAAAGGTGCCACAGGACCCTCTGTTGCTTTTTACAGATTCAGACTAACACGGCTACCCCTCTGATACTTAAACCAGTTAAATAGCTTCTAATTTTCCATCCACAATTAATTGTGGGTTCAGTTCTACAGAACAATCAGTTGTGCAACCCTCAAATCATATTGGTAAGTAAATGTCTATAATCTGTTTTATGTGCATGTAATTGATTGAGGGAACAAAACTTCATGCAGGGAAACTAGATTCTAGGTTGAGGCCCTTTTGAAAATGTGTCCCTTTGTGTAATAAAAACTTACATTAGTAGCCCATTTAGGAGCAAGGAGTCTACACAACTGCTGATCCATGGAAGCTTTGCCATCCATCCTCCCTGTCAATACTATTTCAAGGACTATGGCTGTTCTGAGGGGTTTACATAGGGGTTTCTGTCTTAGCAGATGCTTATTGTCACATGGGGCACCATGGGCTGACTGCCCAAAAGGAGTTAGGTCCTAAGTCTCCAGTTTTGGGATCACAGCTATGCCCAATATTCCCACTGAAACCCTGTAGGCACCTAAACTCACTGGACTCCCTAGGAGCCCATGTTTCTGCTTCCTTCCCATGGGCAACCGGACACCTATTTCCTGCGTAAGCCCCAGAATGATACACAAACCAGGAGAAAACAAGCTTTCAGCGTTGAATTTGCCTGAGGGGTTCAATCCAGTAGGCATGCTCAAAGGCTGCCCACTGAATCAGGCCCCCATAGATGGGCTTATACAGAACAGCGAGAGGAAGCAGAGGAAAAGGACCTCTCATGTAACTTTTAGCGCAGTGGTTAGGGTACTCCCCTGGGAGGTGGGAGAACGGGTTTGAACAGGGATCTGCCACCTGTCAGGTGAGCCTGTGGGATTTTAGCAGGGCTAGGGGTTTCAACCAAAATAATTAGGTGAAGTTACACAAATTCATTAAATGTTTTGATGTCACTGAATCTGCATTTTCCACCAAAACAAGTTTAGGTTGAAAAATTTTGCCCAGCTGTAGTTGAGATGAAAAGTTCAAATTATGAACTATATCCCAGGTTTTACTACAGTAAAATGTGCTCAACAGAAGCTAGTTTGTACATTATTTAGGTCACTTTTAACAGGATTCACATGTAGAATCCACTAACAGTATTAGCCCTGGAACAATAGAAGTGGAATTCAAGTAAATTGATATTTGATTCTGATTGTGTAAAATGCTGTTATGTTTCTGTTAAAATAAGGGAGCTACTTGGATGTGGAGGGACACGTATTGACTTTCAAAAAATTACTGGATTTTGTGCAATATTTTTCCTTTTTTTTAAAGTAATTTAGTTCCAGCAAATATGCACATCTGCTCTTCAAGCAGATCTTTGAGATCGTATTTTTGGAACTGTATAAAATTACATGTAGCATTTTAATATGGTTGTCTTATAAAAATATAAACAGTACGTTGTCACCTGGCAAATGTGCATCTCCAAATGTGACTGGAAATGATTGTGTTTGTCATGTTATTGTACTATAATAAACCTGGTTTCAGCAATGATTAATAAACAAGTAAGCAAAAGTAATAATGTCTATATTCTACTCACAGTATGTTACAAGAACATATTGGGAGTCATTTCTGTTTATACATTTAGAACTTCTGATGCTTAGTTTATCATTTGATTTTTTTAACAAGTTAAGCATCTATTCTCAATATAATCAATATAATCAATGCTAGATAATAATTTATGGTGGTTACTGTATGTATATCCAGAATCTAGTTTGTGACAGCCCTAATTGTGATAAATCATTGCTTAAATCAATTGTTGCCAGTACCTTTTAATTTTTTGTAAATTAAATTATGTATTGATGTACATTTTGTTTTAACCTTAAAGCTTCTGTCGAGAACTGGTTTAAATTAATTTACTTGAATGAGGCGATAAAGCACTGTGGAATAGTTAGTTTTGGATGCAACACACAAAGAAGCATATATTGTGTTAATTCACCATTTTGTTCAGGAGAAGATAAGTAAAAATGTTTCATTTGTTCAAGGAAATAACTGTTTTTTTTAATCTGTGTCTGAAAGAGAGAAGGAAAAAGCATCAGCATTGAACAGAGAGTAATAACCTATCCTGGCATTATTCCTAAACTTTTTTCAGAGCTTTTTTTATCCATCTTTGGAAAAAGTCTTTATAAAGCTCTTATGGGCCAGTAGGGACATCTTTAATTACTTACAGGAAATAACATGAAGTCCAGGATGTTTTGAGATGTAATGTTTTTATTGATCCTTTTAATAATCACAGAGGTATTTAAATAAATTGTTAACACTGTGTTCTAACATGTTTATAAATAGGATCAGTCACTGGCTTTTATTAAAACTGCCACCAAATTTAGGGCTTTACTCTGTGCTGTTGCACACTTTAGCCTACAGTATGAAGTCATCTCCAGAATTACAGACCAGACCTTAGACTACTACCAGTAGCACACTGTATATGTACAATAAATTGTGTTTTTTCCAAGTGATAATGTCAGTGCAAAGTTTTTGGTGAACTCCACATTACCATAAAGTGCCCCACATTGTGTTATACAATAAAATTTACCAAAATCAAAGCCAGTGTGGTGTGCAGGTTTTTGTTGGATGTAGTGATCTGATTTACATATCTTATGCGAAAGGATGTGATCTTTTTCCATCAGAAGGGTAGTTTAAAACAATATGGTGATGTTATACTATGAGCTTTTCACAACCCATTTTGGAGAAGCTAATCAAGGGTTTATTATTAATAATTAGCATTTATATAATGCATCTTCAAAGTGTATAACTATTAACTATCACCATGTCCTGGGAGATAGGCAGCTGATATGCACATTATCCCCAAGCTAGACTCAGAAATGTTAAGTGATTTGATCAGGCCTATATAGGGAGAGCCAGCAGCAAAGCAGGCATTACAACTCAGAAGTTCCTCCTAGCCCCACGTTCAGACCACTACATTACACAGACCCCTCAAATATTGGAAAACCAGAAAATGTTCAGTTTCAGTTCTGTCAGACATCCCTTAAAAAACATCAGTGTTACAACAAAAAGCAAACCACAACCTTAAAGAAATTCCAGGAAATACACAGTTATGGTAGCACTACCCAGACAAACTGAACCCTGCCTGCTTTGGGATGCAGACATGATAATTCTTTATGTAATGATTCTTGGGAAATGAGCTGGGCTTTTCTAAGGCACCTAATGCTGTTTGGTGCACGAATCTCATAGAATTCCAATGGATTTGGGGCCCAAAATCCCTTAGGCCCCTTTGAAAATTCCAGCCAATTATAACCAGTGTTTATATGGCATTTTTCATCTGTAGATCTCCAAGCACTTTACAGAAGAAGCAATTTGCAAAGGAAGCAAACATTTTCCCCATTTTGCAGATGGGGAAACTGAGGTACTAAAAAGTGAAGTTACTTGCCAAAGGTCATATAGCAGGCCATTGGCACAGCCAGTAGAACCCAAGTCTTCTGAATCCACCCAGTCCAGTGGGAGCACACTACCCACTACAAAGTGTAAAGACCGCAACGGCAGCTCTTTCCAGCCATTAGTCACTTTCTATGTGGCAGGACACAGCACAATGAGAGAAAATCCCTCAGTCCCCCAAACACCATAACATGAGGTGCTTTCACAGTTGTGGCTCAGCCTCTCCTAGGATCTAACCTCCCTGAGCCAGTTCATGTAGAATTACAACCAGAATCCACACAGGCAGCGTGACACAAAATGGCCACACAGCAGAATCTGGTCAGTGATTTAAACAATGATGCCGTTGTCCGAACTGGAAAAGAATGCCAAAAGCACTTTGTTGTGTTATTCCAACAAAACATACAGCCCACCAGATAAATGTTAATATTGTTAATCTTCAGTCATTTTTTAAAAAGTTACATCCATTTATTCATCTCTTACGGTTACAACA